ATTCACCAAGCAAACAATTCAAGTTCTCTCTAATACAAAGCTTCCTTTAACAATTCTCTTGTGCTCTTTCTTCCATTCTCTTAGCGATCTTGAGTGTCGTAAGGCTGACTTGACATAGTAAGAACGTGAGCAAGTTGTGCAAGATCGTGAGCGAGTTGTCAAATGCCGCACGTGTACTTAGCTAACAACTAAGGACGTGACAATAAGCCCAAATTAACGTGTAATTTTTTTGTTTTGTTTGTAGCCATTCCTTTCATTGCCCGGGCAGGAATATTATGTATTTTTTGCTTAATTAGAAGCGTATGGTATGTCTATAAATAAACCTTTGCTGAGAAAAGGAAAAAAAATATTAAGACAAACACACATTTCTCATCAAGTCTCATTTTGTTATTACATTTTTAGCAAGATGAATCTTGAACAGAAGATGTGGCATGCTCTCTTTTTGCTTGTTTATGTTATTTCCGCGATATTTTTGCGATGGGAAGGTTCATTTAATGTGGTTGGAAAAGCTAGACTAAGTTGCTACACTATAGCTGCTCTCATGTTTTTTTCCATTAACTCTACTTTTTTTTTTGGTAACAAATGTGAATATTACCATAACAACCAAAAATAATTTTTACACCTTGCTTTTCCTATTTCTTTTTTCCCTATATTAAGGTTGTAGGTTAGGGGAGAGTTGTGAATATTTCGACAGCACAATAGAGTGAGACTAGCCAGTTAGAAGTTAGACTAAGAATGTCATTGGTCGTCTATTGATGCAGGGCTTTACCTTCTAGTTTTACTATACCAGCCATCTATTTCGTATTTCGTATTCTGTGTTTCATATCTCTTGTATATTGCTGTTATTTTATTATGCATTTTTATGGTACTAATATATCGGCTCCTGTTGCTTTTTTGAGCCGAGAGTCTCCTGGAAACAGCCTCTCTACCCTTCGGGATAGGGGTAAGGTCTGCGTACATATTACCCTCCCCAGACCCCACTTGTGGGATTATACTGAGTCGTTGTTGTTGTTGTACTATTTCCAATCTATCTACAATCTCTTTCCTAATTTGTTCATATACAAGGTATATGCTTACATTTACCTTCCTAATTATTTTCCAGTTCCTTGCTTGCCAGGTATCAGTGGCGTACGATACCCTCTCACATAATGCTTACAAAAAAATATTTTATGGACAAGGAGTTTGAACCCAAGACCTCTCACATAATATTGAAATGTTTTATTACAGGTGGTGTCACTTTTAATAGTTTTATCTTGTATTTCTATTTTACTTATTATTTTTATATATATAAATAGTAAAAAAATTCGACGAAGCGATGTCCTGTGACACCGCTTGCCACCATGTAAATCCACCCCTGTCAGGTGTAATACAGCATGGCACCCCATACATTAACTCTACTGTTATTCGCGCAAGAACTAAGAAAAAAGTATCTTGATATCGTGCACCCAAGAAGTACAGTTATTGTGTCTAAATATGCTCGTGCATGCAACAATGTTGGATCATTTGTGGGACTGTGGGTCGGAATGATAGTAAACAGCCAAGAATCCATTGGCCTATTAATACATATGTTTCTTCCTCTCTTTTTTTCTTCTAAAATATGGACCATTTGTGTCATCCTTGCGCATGAGGCTATGCTACCAATTTTATCGGATGTCTCCGAAGGAACCATATGTTGATTACCACCAAGGGTTCAAAAAAGGAAAAAGTTCAAAAGGTCATGTTTAGTGAGAATAGAACCGAGGACCTTACAAAGATTTTGAACCCCTTGACCACTAAACTATACTTTTGGGTTGTATCAAGGGGATTCAAAACATAATATATAGAGGTTAAAAAATAGATTTTGACTAACATATACAGTGTAATATTTTGGCGAAGGGGGTTCGGGTGAACACCCTTCCGCCACCCTAAATCCGCCCCCTGCTCATGCTAATTAAGCCAGTCATGACTAGTGACTTTGGGATTTTTAACTTGTGTGCCGTTACTGTTGGTCTTTATTTGAGGGATTATAAGTGTGGATGACAGACATGGTTGGCAGCAATTATTTGTAGCATTCTGATGGTGCTAAGGAATGTCTTTGAGTTGTGGCCAGATTTGGCAGATAGCCACAATACTATAGGATCGATGAATTTGCTAGCCTTACTGAGGCTGAGACTGATTTGTTAACAATATTGCAATTTTAATTTGAAAGCAGGTTAAATTGGAAAGGTTTCATTTCTTATGTTGTTCTTTCTGTTTGTTAGTTTTCTATGTAAAATGGTTTTCCCTGGAAAAAAAAAAACAAATAAGAAAAGATATACAGATTAATCTTGCAAAATAATGAAAAGAACTAATGCTAACACATAGCCCGTTTGGACATAAAAAAAAAAAAATTCCCTTCTTTCGAAAAATTATGATCAAACACTGATTTCGAAAAAAAATGAAATTTTTTTTCGAAAATATGAGGTTTCTGTATAAAACTTAAAAGGACATTTTATCAAACAATTGTATGCATTCACCAACAAAAGTTAAATAAAGAGCCAAAGGATTAAAACATTAGATTTTTAAATGTATAACACGATCCATGTCAATGTAAAATATAATACTATCAGTATAATTTTAATTGTTATGACAAATTATATAAAACACATGTTATTATATAAATACTGTCACTATATTATATAGTTTAAACTAAAAAATAAAACCATAGTATTTGACTTGTTGTACAATAAATGTAATTTTGACTATCCATCATCAAGATCTAACCAAACAGCACCTTTTCTAAAATTTCCCTCTTTAAAAAGACGCTCTCTTTAACTTTTGTCTTCTTCCACTTCTAGATCCAATACATTTTTAATTATCACTTTTCAAACCCCAATTTTTAATATATTCATTTCCGGTTCGAATCCTACATTTTCAACCGAGTGATCAGAATCAACGGCTTAGATAATTCCCAGCACTTTTTACCCCTTCTTCTTTCCCCTATTTCAAATTCAAATCTCATCATTTCTTCAACGGCTAGTTTCTTTTCTTTTCGTTCTCTTCTCTCTTGTCTAACCCTATCCCTAAAATCCACCATTTTTCTCATGTACTAACGATGAAGCACAACGTACAACAACCAAGAAGCACAATCTTAAGGGAGAATCACGAAGCGATGCCGCCAGCGAGTCCAAACCCTAGCTCTACTACGAAGCAGCAGCAGAAATGGCTAACGCCACCACCGTACCGGAAGAACAAGTCGTCGTCTAAAGAGAATGCTAATCCCAATTCAGATCTGAATTCCTCACCGGCTGTTACCGGTGTGTTAAAGATGAAGAGTCCGTTACCGCCTCGGCACCCTAATTCCAATCCTTTAAAGCGGAAGCTCAGTGTTGAATCGGAGAACGGCGCCACCGTTGCTGCTGGATCTTCTGACTCTGGCGTCAAAGTAATTTCTAGTAAATTTATTGTTCTGACTTTATTGAAAATGTGAATTTCAGGTTTTATTTTTGCTTGAAAATTAATTGATCCTTGTTGATTTTAATGATTTTTTATTAATCTGAATTGTCATTACATCTGATATTTTTTAATAGATGAATTTTAGTTGACTTTTCCGCGAAATGTTGTTTCTGGTGAAGGAATTTCTTGAAAATTAACTGTTTGTTCATGAATTTTCGATTTGATTGAACAGTCTTATTGCTAAATCTGAGGTGAATTTACGAAAAATTGCTCTGAATTTATTGAAAATGTGAATTTCAGTTTGTTTGCTTTTTTTTTTTTAATTGAAAATTAATTTCTTTGTTACTTATGATGAAATTTTGATTAAACTGAATGTCATCAATTGTGTGGTACTTTATTTGAGTCCAATATTTCGATGTGATGGACGGATGAATTTTATTAGTCGAAATATTGATCCTACTGAACATATTTGCTGAAAAAATTACTGTTTTGTTTGTGCAAAGTAGTTTAATCTGAGAGCTTATGGTAGTTATGGTAGATCCTGGAATGACTTTGTTGCAATGTTTTCCATGCAAATCAGGTTATAGTGAGGATGAGGCCACCAATCAAGGATGAGGAAGAGGGTGAAACTGTTCTCCAGAAGGTCTCTAATGATTCTTTGTCAATATCGGGACATACTTTTACATTTGACTCTATTGCTGACACCCAATCAACACAGGTAAACATAATGTTTTACTTGTAGAGGAGATAAATTTAACAAGTAATGCATAAAAATTTAAAATAAACATGCTTGATTCTTCCTTATTTTTTATGTTTGCGCTTGATATATTTGAATTTGATTAGTGTGCTCGGTGAGAGATATCAACTAAATGTGATTGGTTCTGCTTTTGCATTGCTCTTTCAGCTAGATATATTTCAGCTTGTGGGAGCTCCTCTTGTTGAAAATTGCCTTGCTGGATTTAACAGCTCAGTATTCGCTTACGGGCAGGTAACTTTAGCCTCATATTATGCGATATGCTAAATATAAACTGCAGGATGCCAAATATTCTACTGTAATCTTTTTTTGCTGACATGTCCCCTTAATCAGACTGGTAGTGGAAAGACATATACAATATGGGGACCAGCCAACGCATTGTTGGAAGAAAACTTGGCAAGTGATCAACAAGGCTTGACACCACGTGTTTTCCAACGACTTTTTGAACGAATTGAGGAGGTGATATTCTGCTGTCTCTCTTATTATATGAATGTTGCTTTTTCCCAGATGTACTGTAGGTTGTATAAGTATTGACTGTCAATTCATTTTCTTTTCAGGAGCAAATTAAGCATTCTGACAAGCAGCTCGTGTATCAATGTAGATGCTCTTTTCTTGAGGTTAGGCAACCTGGATGATTCTTTTGCAATATGTGAAAGGTCATTACATAACTCTTCTAAGTTCTTTAAGTCCCATAACTTGCAGATATACAATGAGCAAATCACTGATTTGTTGGATCCTAGTCAACGAAACCTCCAGGTAGAAGGAACTAACATATAATGATGGATTATTTAGAAGGAAACTACAACATATACTGATATTGCATTCATCATCTCATTTCTGAGAAACTCATATTAATAATCTTTAATTGGCTTCACTTTTCAGATTAGGGAAGATGTGAGGACTGGTGTCTATGTTGAAAATTTGACCGAGGAATGTGTTTCTACCATGAAGGATGTGACAAAGCTTTTGATGAAGGTTCAGACTGCAGCCTTTTTTATTACATTTTATTAGACAGAAGAATAATGCATTCACGTCTAGGTTTTTACAGATAAAAGGACCACGAAACGACAACTGTTGTGCAGTAAATGTTAGCAGTTCGTGAGGTGGCTGCACCACCATTGAAAGATGAGATTACTAAATGGAATTCTATGAAACCTTATCATGGAATAGATAAGAAACAAAAACCTGTTTAGCTACAGATATGTGTGTTTTTTTATGAAACACGACTACATTTTTATTCCTCAGTTCCTTGACATATTGAAATGTCCATGTATTTGAAAGAAACTTGATCTTATCTTCTAGTTTGGAACAATGGGCAGAGCCTTAGGGATTCTCTTACTCCACTGTTTTTCATTGTTGTGATTTCCTAAAAGAGGAAGGGCAAAAGTCTTAATTTCCCTAACTTAACGATCTTGCCTTTTGTTGTTATCTACTTTTTTTTCCTATGGGCAGAGCTTAGGGCTGCAGTTTGTTGTTATCTTTTTTTTTCCCTATTTCAATGTTATGCTTCACATTAAATAGGAGAGGATAACATATTTTGATTTGTCGTCATCCTCTAGGTTTCAACCTGTGTATTTGTTAAGTAGAGTCAGTTATGTAGCAAGTGACATCTGAGATAAGTGTCAAAATTTATTTTTCTTCTACTTCTTTTACTTGTATTTTGGGAGTAGCCTTATGAAAATGGCCTGATGTACTTAGAGGTAGCTAATGGAACTTGCTCAATGAATATTGCAGGGCTTGTCAAACAGGAGAACTGGCGCTACTAGTATAAACGCTGAGAGTTCACGTTCTCACAGTGTATTTACTTGTGTTGTTGAATCACGATGCAAGGTAATAGCTTCTTGTGTCCTTGTGACTATCATCTGATTTATAACGATCCTATAGACCTTTTACGTTTCTTTATTACAACAAATCTAATCTCTATTAAAAATACCAACGACTAAATTATGCATGGTCTGTTCTTTGTCATTTTTGGTTGTAAAGAACTTTTACATATTGAGGTGTCTGTGACGGTGCATAGAAAAACTTGCTATAATTCATAGTCGTCTGTTGTATTTGAGATTTGAAAATGTTTGTTGTTGATCTTATATAAACTTTTATTTTCAGAGGATGGCCGATGGCTTAAGCTGCCTGAAGTCAAGTAGGATAAATCTCGTAGATCTTGCCGGGTCAGAAAGGCAAAAGCTAACTGGTGCAGCTGGAGAACGCCTGAAGGAAGCTGGGAACATCAATCGCTCCCTATCACAGCTGGGGTATTTTCTTAAGCTGATCAAATTCTCTGTGGTTTGGCCTTCAAAAAGCTAGCTATTTCATCTACTGTCCATAAACACACATTTCATATTTCTCATTAGCTAATTGAATGAAGAAGAAAGGATTGGTCCATTTAAAGATGTAACAAATTTTACTTCATTCAGCAATCTTGGCCTTGGCACCATAGGAAAATTTCCTTTATCTTTTGGTTCAAAAAGAGTCAGCACCATTGAATTGATCCATCTAGGGATCCTTTTGTCTTTCTGGTAGTTGTTTGCTTTCCTGGTGCGATTATGTACATTGTTGACAGGGAAAAGAGTTTGTCTTTAATCTCAAGCGAAAGACATTCTTCAAAAAGGGGTTGCTAGAAAAGTCCGTGTCTAATAGTAGCTTCCTGGAATCTGGACATTTGAGACCTGTTATCAATGAACATGGGCAGGATCCTCTAGAGCGAGTGCATGAATATTCATTGATGTCAGATAGTGTTCCCAGTAAATGATATAAATCTTATTAAATCTAAAATTGTGTGTAACATTGTTGCTGTTTTTTCTCCTATAACTAGAAGTCATTATGAGACTGGGTTGCCTATTTCTGTTCCTTTCTATCTCCTGCCAAAGTTATACAGGATTGCGTGAACACCGTTTCCCTTATTTGTAGAATAGCAACATAGTGAAATAAGAAGCTTCCTTTTCATGTAAGAGTTTTCAAGAATTACTATATTTGCCTCACGTAGGGTGTCAAATTTGTAACTTTTCATCTTTTCCTTCTGTCTTCTTGTTTTAGGTTAAATTTTTCACATTTGGTTCTGATTACACTTTTTTTTTGAGATCTACAGGAACTTGATAAACATTCTAGCAGAAGTTTCCCAAACAGGAAAGCATCGGCACATTCCATATAGAGATTCCAAGTTGACTTTTTTGTTACAGGAATCTCTTGGTGGAAATGCAAAACTTGCAATGATATGTGCCATTTCTCCGGCCCCGAGGTAGAGTCAGGACGTACTTTCCTTATTTGTATTTCATTCTCTTAAAGCTTACATTTCAATTTATTTTATTTTATTGTTGATAATTTTTAGGGTCTTTTACTCTTTTTGGTAATGCAGTTGTAAGAGCGAGACTTTCAGTACCCTGAGATTTGCCCAACGAGCAAAGGCAATCAAGAATAAGGCAGTTGTCAATGAGGAAATGCAGGATGATGTAAATGTCTTGAGGGAAGTTATACGACAGTTAAAGGCAAACACTTAAATCCTTTTGTTGTTAATATCTATCTTAACGATCAGCGTAGTCCTTGCTTATGCGTCTTGGTTGAATGAACACCTTATTTTCCTTCCTCTTTACAGGATGAGCTGATAAGAGTGAAGGCCAATGGCTCTCAAGCAGATCAAAATGGAAATTATTCATCAGGGTGGAATGCGCGTAGAAGCTTAAATCTTTTGAAATTCAGCCTCAAACGTCCAATAGATGATGATGGTGACACAGAAATGGAAATTGTTGAGGAAGCCGAACTATTAGGTCTCTTACCAGAAGGAAGTAAAGAGATTGGAATCTTGCGAAAAACTCTTTCCAGGAGTTCCTTGGTTGTTGCTCCTGAAGGACATGACGAAGAAAAGGAGAACACAGCCAAGAGAGAGGAAGGTTCCGAGGATACAGACGTTACCATGGAGGAAGAGGTATCTGAACATGTCCAACCTGAAAACAAAGTTATTGATTGTGCTGGGGTGAGGACCTTGGATAATTGTTCCATGGCTGGAGAATCCATTCATCAAAGTTGTGAAGAAGAAAATGTTGAGGCCGCTTTGAAGAAATCCATGTCGAAGAGGCTTGATAGTGATCTTTCTCGAGAGCCTATTGAAGTAGAGTGTCTTCCATCGCTGGCCATTAATTTGCATCAAGGAGTAAAAAGGGAATTGGTAGAAGAAACAGCCTCAGAGCAATGTGAAGACTACAATGAAAGAACTACTGAAAACTCTTCTAAATGCTTGGATGGTGATGCAGCTTTTACGGACCTTAGCATAGTCACAAATGATAAATCTCCCATTTTAAAGTCACCCACTCCAAGCGTTTCACCAAGAGTTAATAGCAGTAGGAAAAGTCTTAGGACATCATCGATGCTGAGTGCTTCTCAGAAGGATCTTAGAGAGAGTAAGTTGGACGCACCACATTTGTCCTTTGCAAAGCCTTCTAACAGTATTTGTTTGAACTCTCAACCTAATCAGAGAAGTAAAAGTTGTTTCACGTCGACTGAGCATTTGGCTGCTAGTCTACATAGGGGACTTGAAATTATAAGCAATCACCAAAGTACATCTTTGAGGCGGTCCTCATTCAGATTTTCTTGCAAACCTGCTGATATTAGAGCAATTATACCAGTTGCTAAAGCAGATGTGGGCGTCCAAACAAGTATTAGAGATTCAATATTTTTGTGTGGTAAATGTAAGGCAAGAAACTCCAAGGAAGAGACTAAAGATGCCAAAAATGACTCAAATATGCAGTTGGTACCAGTTGATGGATCACAGTTGGTACCTGCTGATGGATCACAGTCCTGTGGAAAGTTCAAGATTCAAGTACCCAAAGTAAGTTTGAAGATTTTATGAATATTTGGCTTTTGTAATCTGTAAAGTACTTATTCATGTGCAATATTTTCTTTGTTTACAGGCAGTAGAAAAGGTATTGGCAGGAGCAATACGGAGAGAGATGGCACTGGAAGAAATATGTGCCAAGCAAACTTCTGAGATCATGCAACTCAACCGCTTGGTAGGTTTGATTGGTCCATTGTGCAACTTTCTACTTTCATTATTTCCTTCTGATCTTTAACATGTCTTGCAAACAATGGCAGATTCAACAATACAAACTTGAGCGAGAATGCAACGCCATTATTGGCCAAACACGGGAGGATAAGATTGTTCGCCTTGAGAGCTTAATGGATGGAATCCTACCAACAGACGAGTTCATGGAGGATGAACTGTTATCACTCACTCATGAGCATAAGGTATATGTCTGACTTGAACTTTGGCTATTCATATCTACAATTTCTCCTCCTGCTATACATATCTAACTCATGGTTTTCAGCTTCTGAAGGAGAAATATGAAAATCATCCAGAAATTTCAAGTGCGAAAATTGAATTAAGAAGAGTTCAAGATGAACTGGAACGGTATCGTAACTTCTTTGACTTAGGTGAGAGGGAAGTTTTGCTGGAGGAGATTCAGGATTTGAGAAGCCAGCTCCAGTTTTATGTAGATTTTTCACCAAAGTCATCCAAGAAAGGAAATTCACCTCTGCAATTAACTTATCCATCTGAGTCAAGTGAGCCTTCGCCTTTATCCACTATTCCAGAGTCAACTGAGGCGAGTGCTGAACAGAGACTTGAAAGAGAGAGGATTCAATGGGCTGAAACAGAAAGTAAGTGGATTTCTCTTGTAGAAGAATTGAGGTTAGACTTAGATGCTAGCCGCAGCATGGCGGAAAAGCATAAACAAGAACTAGATTTGGAGAAGAAGTGCTCGGAAGAGCTAAAAGAAGCAATGCAGATGGCAATGCAGGGACATGCACGCATGCTTGAACAGTATGCTGAACTCGAGGAGAAACATATGCAATTGCTTATCAGGCATAGGAAGATCCAAGATGGTGTAGAGGATGTCAAGAAAGCAGCTGCAAAGGCAGGAGTCAGGGGTGCTGAATCCAAATTTATCAATGCTCTTGCTGCAGAAATTTCAGCTCTAAAAGTCGAAAGGGAAAAGGAGAGGCGAATTTTTAGAGAAGAAAATAAGGGGCTTCAGGCTCAACTGAGGGATACTGCTGAAGCTGTACAAGCGGCTGGTGAATTGCTTGTGCGGCTTAAAGAGGCAGAAGAAGCTATTGCAGCCGCTGAGGTGAGTTTTTGGAATCATTCATTTCGTAGTTGCACTTTATTTTATCAGCATGTATTTTCTCATCATTGCAGCAGTATGGCTTGCTTTCCAGGTCGTTTACAGTCAACTACTCATTATGCTACTCCTTGCATCATTATGTATCCTATACGTCTCTCTCTCCACCTCTGCTCCAATCCTTTTCTTTTACTTTCTTTTTCTAATTTTCTACATAAAGAGTCTCGCGTTTTGAATGCTTTTGCGTAATTGTATCCCTGTAATTCAAGGCTCGTCATGTAGGTGAGGTTAACGAGTATTTGAACTAACATCATTGCAACCAGGATTAGAGACATATAGAGAGATCCTGCTTTTGTCTCGTAACAAGGAAACCTTTCTCATATAATCTTACTGCTTTCTTCCCATAATAATGAAAATTTTCTTATTGTCTTATCTGAACAGATGCCACTCTTCTTCGTTCTTCAGATTTTGGCATGCTTATTTGACTTTTTACTATGTGCCACGTAATCTGTGACCAATGTCACATCTTATTGAATGACGTGTAATGTGTAGTATTGATTTGTTTGTCTATTCATTTTTCTTTACAAAGTATAAATAAGCTAAGAACATGAAAAAAGGGAATAAACGGATCCATATAGGTGATACCAGCTAGTTGGATTAGTTTAGCTGTTTTTAAGCTTACTTTAGGAGTTTCTGTAGTCTAGTTAGAGATGTAGAGAACCTAAGCATTTCAAATAGATCAGGATTGTTAGAGAGTTGAAATAAAGTTGATAAATCTCTATGTAAATAGATAAGTACAGTGGGATCATATCAAATAAAGAGTATGCTGTTATTTTAGAATTAAACAATTTGATGAACTACTACTACAGATTGTGACATCCCACAGTGCTAGTCAAACTAGTGCCAAATTTAGAGGATTGCCAATTTTTCTTTAAAGACAATTAGTTTGTATTAAATGAATGAGAGCCCAAACAGGGCAAAAGCCGATCCCAACTAGCTCTATTTAAAGTTTAGTATTTTAATACACATATTACCTTCTTGATTTACATTTCGACACAGGATACAGGATTTTCTTGAACTACTACTACAGATTGTGACATCCCACAGTGCTAGTCAAACTAGTGCCAAATTTAGAGGATTGCCAATTTTTCTTTAAAGACAATTAGGTTGTATTAAATGAATGAGAGCCCAAACAGGGCAAAATGAATACAGATGATTCATAAGCCGATCCCAACTAGCTCTATTTAAAGTTTAGTATTTTAATACACATATTACCTTCTTGATTTACTTTTCGACGCAGGATACATGATTTTCTTGAGCTGACATCACGTTTCAGAAGAAGCTTATGTGTCCTTTTTGTTTTTTCTTTTCCGTTAGGCTGCATTTGTTAGATCTTCATTTGTAGGAATTCTGTTGTTAAGATTATGGATGGGAAAATGCTCCAAAGGTTTTCAATCAATACGTAACTTGACATTTCATCTGATTACATAGAATGTTTTTATTGTTTGATCTCTTACAAACTCTTTTTACAGTATTTATATCTTTCCGTGCTTTTCTTGAATATATTACAGCTATGTCAGATAAGCATTTGGATCTGTTTTATGTTTGATTACTTGGTTCTCCAGAAGGAAGTGTCTGCTCATTGACAGTGAATGATGTAGTGCATCCACTGAAGAGATTGGCTATGTTAGCTTGAGCTACTGGTGTTACAATATTTAATCACGTTGAATGTGATTTTTCTATGACAAATATTTTGAACCTTGCTTTTTCATGATGTATATCATGAGAAATTGAAACAGCTTATATGTCGTTATTTGGTTGCCCTGAAGCACGTTACTCTTGCTTGGATATGTACTTTTGGCCAGAGTTATCTAATAAGTTTTAATGTTATGCAGAAACGAGCCATTGAAGCAGAGCAAGAAGCTAACGCGGCTTACAAACAGATTGATAAACTGAAGAAGAAACATGAAAGGGAGATCAACAATTTGAATCAGTTACTTGAAGTATCATCTCAACCTAAAGAAAGATCAGAAGCCATATACGATAATTCCGTGACAGCAACATATGAAGTAGGGGAGGTGAATAACAACGGTGATAAGCAGTGGACAGAAGAATTCAAGTCAATCTACAATAGAGAAGAGGACTTGACAAATTTAGGAGAGCCATCTTCTTGGTTCTCAGGATATGACAGATGCAACATATAGACTAGGAAATGTTTGATGTAAAGGTGGTGTGTTGTATGTACCAATAATAGTGTTATATGATATGGTTTTGGAAAGGTGTAGCTTTTCTCTTCAAATTTCAATGATAGGAATTGTATCACCAATTGTGAAAAAAACAACTTACTGGATCATTCAAGCTCTTTGTATCCAATTTCTAAAATTGCTCAATGGGAATGAAAAAAATGATTTGTTTTGCCCAAGTTCTTGTTCTTACTTTTTAATTTCAGATCTCAACATGCTCTGGCATACTGCTAGTGACTAATTTGGACTTGGTACAAGTGTTGGATTCAAGCCTCCAACAAAGGTATATTTCAATCTCTATCAAAGTTTCTACAATTATTAAGGATTCATACCTTGTACTCCTATTTTATCCTGCTTTCAATGGATGCATCAAGGAAAGTGAGAATCAAGCATTTTTTTTTATATATTTATCCTTACAAGACATAAAATTATATGTTTATGTAGGTGTTGAAATGTGGTACTTTAACAACGTCTCAATCCCAAACAAGTGGGAGATCGGCGTAATGAATCCTCACATCTTCACTTAAGCTCAACTCATATCATCACCATATACAAGGTACGAAATGTGGTAAAGTGAGATTACATTTTCTTATTTATTTTTTGAAAAGTTTGGACTGTGCATTATTTGGATAGGGTAGGACCCAGAAGTAGAGACAATAGGAACTGTAGAAAGATACCAAGAAGGAACATGGATGTTTACTAGTAGCTTAGATCATTTATTTGCTTGGTTTTGGTGTCAAGTGGATAGGAGGCAATCTTCAAGTGGCTCAGACTAGTATGCCATTGCATTTTTGTGTAAGTATTGGAAGCCAAGAACAGACAGTCCATTAGTACTTGTGAAAACTTTGGCAGCTTTGTTGATATTGTAGTCTATCCTGTCAAGGAACCATTAAACAAGTAGCTTGTGGGATTGTCTTCCCTGACATGTAACTCTCCCTACTTGTGGACCATTTCTTTCTCTCTTTTTTGCACAGACACTTCTTTTTCACTTAAATACAAAAGATAGGAAAAGATACATGTAGGCTCATACCTAGGGGTAGCAAAATGGTTCAAAGAAAATAGTTAACCACCCATATTATCCACTAAAAAATGGGTTGGATAATGAACTTTTTAAAAACGGGTCAAATATGGATAAGAACCATAAGTAACCAATGGATAACCAATGAGTCTAACTTTTACATTTGTGAAGCCTCATATTGGGGGTTCCTCAAGTTAGGGAGACTAAGAATTCTCCCAAAAGTGATCATATACAAGAAGTCATGGATAATATGGGTAACCCATATTATCCGCCAGTTAACCCGTTTTTTATCTGTATTAAATATGGGTTGGGTCGGATAATTGATCCGTTTTTCATTACCCGTTTTGACCTGAACCATATCCGACCCGACCCGCCCGTTTACCACTCCTACTCATACCCTGGCCATATATTAACCATGGAATTGAGATGTGGATCCCATAATTTTCCTTTTTATAATATTGGTGTGGATTAACTTGTGCATGTCTTCACTATTCCATTGGATACATGTTTTTTCACACCAACACATGTACTGAGAAATTCTACTCGCCAAGGCTCAAAAGGAATCTCCTATCTAAATTATTTTTCGAAAAATCTTTAAAATCTGAAAGTTTCAAAAAAATAAACCAACTAATGTAAGACATGTCTGGTGGCTGATTATTCAAATTATCCAATTGTACATATAACATCTTTTTACCTTATTTGTGTGATTAAAAGCACCACTTATCACATCTAGGGTAAATGCACTTGTTATTCCCATCCACGAGAACTCACTACAAATTATACCTTTTTAACCCATGTATGAGACTTTAAAATTACCCAAGAATTTGACATATATCCATATTTCTCCTTTATTATAGGAAGGGATAGACACCTCCTTTAAAGAAAATCAATGGTGCAAATGATGATGAAAATGACATGTAAATGAAACCTACCATTTTGATCATGAAAGGGAAATGGAACAGTAACATGGGGCAAGTTTTGGTTCTCTTTGTGGTCCATTAAAGATACACTGTTTGGTAATTACAATATCTCATTTGGCCCAATGAAAGAAACAAATCTTTGCAAAAAAGAAAATAGAAATTAAAATAGAAAGAGACTGTTTTTCTGTGGCTATAAATATTTTTCTTATTTCCAATTTACCAAGTAGGAAGAAAAAAATACTGTCTACTTTCTGCTTCATTATTAAATAAAGTCAAATTAAATGTAGGTACGACATTTGCCCTCATGGCTTAGGTCTAGCAATAAGAGTATAGAACATGATATACATTACGAGTTTGAATCATGTTATAGATAAAAACCCGTTATTCAAGTGGAGAGGGGTAGGGGGTCAGATCCATTATCAACCATTCCTCGAACCGTGCGACATTGTCTGAGTAGAGGGGCAGATCCATTATCAACCATTCCTCGAATCGTGCGACATTGTCTGAGTAGTTATTTAAAAAAAAAGAAAAAGATGTAGCTATGGCATTTTTTATTCAGATTCTCGTCTTTTTTTATCTTTGATTATTACATGATTTACAAAATCAAATTCAATAATGACATTGTCAATGGCGTACTAATGTCTCGTTAGAGTAAGATGTGCTTTAAAGATTAGTACTATGTGCTTTAATAAATTAATCTTAAGCAAGATTACTTTGACAAGACGCAAATCTGTGCTATAATCCAAATCTATGTACCTCTTGATATAGACATTAAGTAGAAATCTTGAGATATTCTTTAGAGATTACAATTGATTGAAGAAATGAAAGTAAAAGATCTAGTTGGTGAAAGCAAAATGATGGGGCTGGTTATTCAATCTTCAAAATCACAACCTGCTTTTTCTTCTCACTTGGGGTCCAGAGGCGAATCTAGAAGGTAAGTTATGGATCAATCGACGTTACTAAATTTGGTTTAAGCCCTATAATATATTATCAAATTCACTAAATATGATAAACTTTAAATTTTGTAATTTTGTAATTCAGTTATTAGTATTTAAAGCCGTCGTTGCGCAATTCAAAACTCATAAAGTTCAAATTCTGAAACTCTGAAAAATCACAATAATTCTGCTTCTAATCAGTTCAAGAAGAGTACTGGGACCTCCACATAGATAAAGTTTATAGTTGAAAATTCCCTGTAAGTCAGGGGTACTTATATTTTTTCCCTACTTAATATCATACCAAACGATATCAGAGAAAATTTGCTGCTTAAGTTGAAAGAAAAAGACATCAAGTGAATGGAAGGTATGATATATACAGCATGATGTTGAAGATTGACAGCCTGGTAATTGGACCCCTCTTCCAACCACACAACAAAGACTTGATAATCCAAAGTACTATAATTTGAGTTGTTTAATTAACTTACTAATTATATAGGGATTAAAGTACACAAATTATTCTAAGATAAACAATAATAAGAATTATATAAGGTGATTTTTATGAGCTGAATAAAATTTCAAGAATTGTTTTTGTAGAGACTGTCACTCTTTGCTTCAAGTAACGGTCGAGTAATCTCGTTTTGTCGCAATTGATGAAGTCTTTTATATTCTTACCTTGCCATATCAACGTACAACTCTTGTAGCATAATGTACAACACTTGCAGACTGAGGCAAATCTAGAATTTAAACTTTATGGGTTCAAATTTGCAATTATACCGCATCTCATCTAATTTAATGGGTTCAAAATTTATTATTTGTATATATTTAATATTTTTTTAGGCAAACATATAGGGTATGAGCGAAAGCTACCCCTAGCCTCTACACTGAATACGCCCTTACTTCCGGCATGAAATTACTTTGCTAATGTCACTACTTAATTTCTCCAAAATCCTACTACCGTATCTTGAAAATCAATTGATTGGAATCCCAATACAGATATCGAACATCCAATTAAATAAATAATTGGTTGATCAATAATCTCAACTATCCCAAAAGAAAATAACATATTCAATCAATCTCCCTCGAACTATCCCTTTCATTAGTGGACCCTAATTGTTCGTTATGTCCGGAGTTAATTATGGAAATGCTATGATTAAACATCTCTTCATGCAGTCAAAATTCATCATTCTTTCTTCGTCTTTTTTTCCTCTCATGATTTTAAAAGGTTAGGTATGATCAAAGTGATTTAACAAATAACTGCAGATCTTTCTAATTCACCAAACCAAGTTGACCTTTTTAAGGACTAGTAAAAGGAAGATTCATGTATCTTCTCTAGAAGTATGATTTTTAACTTGTTTGAAAACTAGAAAAAAAGTTGCATATTTCATAAGAAATATATTTAGAGCCGGTTTGGACATAAGAATTTTTTCACTTTTTTTCGAAATCAGTAATTGGCCATAAAATTTCTAATTTTCACTTGAAGATGAATTTTAGATATTTTCAAAAATATGAAAAACTCCAAAAAACTATTTTTCAAAATTCACTCAGACCACTCACAAAACTTCAAAAACAACCCAAAATTATATTCATATTCAAACACAACTTTAATTTTCAAATAGCATTGTTACTTGAATTTATTTATTTTACTTTTTTTTGGAATTTTACAATTCTTATGTCCAAACGCCCACTTAATAATCTTAATTAAAGAGCATTTGTATACACTAATCTTTGTCTCTCCTTAAACCTCAAATATTTTGAAAGTAATAAAGGACTTGTTCTTAGAAAAACGTCAAATATTTTAAAATAAATGCATTATACGACGAATATTTGGGATCAGAAAGAATATAAGTGATCAAATAAAAATATTATATATATAGTATAAAAAATCAATTACAAAAATTCAAATCAAATAAATTTTAGAAAAAGCCTCCAAAAACAAGTTATGGCTGCAGATATTTTTTTGTTGGTTTTTATAAGATGTTGGATTTTGCTGACAGCTTCTCATGGAGAAAAAGTTTTGACTTTCCTTATCCTCATGGCTGCTTCTTAAAGCAATCTGAACTCCACTAGTTTTATCTTCTTTTTTACGTACTAAGTTTTCAAGTTATCCATTTCTATCTGTTTTTTCTTAAATAAATTATTACTCCACCCATTCTAATTTATATTGACTCTTGATCTAAAATATGCTATGGATATTTATGTTGCTATAAGTAGAATTGGACCTAGGATTTGAATGTGGCGGGGATATTACTATTGAACAAAAATTTGAGCAAATGCTGGAGTAGAATCGACCTTAGGCAACACATTAAAAATCAAGTTGTGCAGCCTAAATCGACCAATATAACTGCTAACGCTTTGAATTTTAGGGTGTCAATCAAAATATACTACATGCTATTTAGGTTATATGCATACATATACATACATTTTTCTGAAATTTTACCAGGGGTGACCCAATCCTAAGGGTAGGTTCGCCTCTAACTATAAATTATTTTATTAAAAATAAAATAGAAAGTTTAAAGTTAAATTATTTATAAATTAAAGTATGATATATAAATTGAGAAAGAGAAGTATATGTCTCGGTTTACTTATTCCATTCTTTGTGTTCTTAGCAGAAAATACTTGAGGAAAAGTCATCTGATTCTTTAGCCAAGTCAGAGCTTCACCATTGCCAACCTGGTTTTACAATGTTGTTTCTTGTTTTTTTGTTTTTTTTGGTAATTTATTTATTATTATTATTATTTATTATTGTTGTTATTATTATTGTTGTTGTTGTTTCTTTAGGGTGGAAGAGGGTATATCGAGGTTCTTCTTCACTTAATATCAATTAAAGCATGCGATTCACACGGTTATACTAAATGAGATTTTGATTCATGTTATCTCAATTTTAAAGTTTTTCACACTTCAAAAAAAAAACATTTAATAGCATGTATTTATCAAAATTATCATTTATTTATTTTTAAAAACTTTATTAAATTCCACTAATTTGAGTAGGGTGAAGTTTTAAAAAAAAAAGTACTTCATCCATCCCAATTTTATATGTCTTGCTTATCAGAAGTCAATTCGACTAATCTTTAAAGCTAAAATGAATATGATCAACTCGATATTTTTATATTAAAATTTAATAGTTAAAAACTACACAAAAATGTGGTAAGTTGCAACTTCTCATGTCAATTTGATGAAAATATATATCCTAAAATGGTGGTCTAAGTTCACATCGTATGAATCTGGAGAAGCGAAAATACTACATAAATTGATATAAATTAAGTAATAAACATTTTTGTTTTAAAACAATTATAATATAAAATAAAAACCATAGAAGTGGGATTTCAAATTTCCCCCAAAAATATTAGAAGTTACTTTTGATGGATAGCAAATTTTGATCAAAATAATCTATAGTGTGAACAAATTAGTAGTGGTTTAATCTCTTAAAAGTAGGTAACTTTGGATTCCAGCTCAATTGCACTAACAAACCATCATTCTTAATCAAAACAACTGGACTTAGACACTATTGTCCCCACTAACAGCTGTTTTGTAATAAGAATCCAATCCCTCCCTCAAGTCACTCTATTTAAGGTTTTAAATCATTTTTATTTAATTTGACCCCAAAAAAAAATACCTTTTCCCTTAGCTTTGTGATTATGACATAAAAAAGATAGCCCAGTGCACGAGTATTTCATATTCACGTTGGATTCGGAGAAGAATCGTACCCTAACAATATGATATAAACAATCTACCTTAATGGCTGATTCTGCGGTTCGAACATATGACTTATAGGTCACACGAAGACAACTTAACTATATTGATCCAAGGGTCCCCTTCCTTTTTGATTATGACACTTCTTTTTAAAAAAAACATTAGCATAACTACTTCTGAATTTATCATTTTACCCCTCAATAGACAATGATATGAAGTCAAATTTCTAGATTCAATTCTCTTCCCACCATTTGCACAAATTATAGAGATTATAATGAAAAAAACAGTAAACAGAAAAAATTATTTTCCTGATTTAACGATGTTCTTTTTTGTAGAATTAGTTTTTCCTAATATTTGTCTAAATTATCTCGTCAAAAGTATCAAGTGCACACATACATAAAGTCAAAGATACATGGAGTTCGGAGTATCTAGCTATAGGATATGGGTTCTCCTCTCCATCGGTTATGTATAATAATGTAATATTTTTTAAAAATTACTTAAATATATGTATGCGCATTCATGCTCAAAGATTCCTATCGTACAATAATTATTGGGTGCACCTCTACGAGCAAAATTGGCGATTCAAATCCCATATCTGACGGTCTTATTTTCGGCACAGAATATAAATAATACGTGAAAATTACAAAAGTTTTAAAAAGAATATAATTTTGAACCTATAATTTTTAAACTCTAAAGTGTAGTGGATTCATGGTAAGGGACTATTAAACACTTCAAATATAAATTTTAAATCCACCTCTTCATAATAATGCACTCAATTCTCTTGAAATCTTGGATCCGTCTCTGTTCAAAGAGTAGGGCCATAAAGGATTTTCTTCGTGGCTCCAGAAATAAAATACACAAGTTTTGAATATGTCCTTTGGAGGATTCACACGAAAAAAGAATTTAATGAATAGATAGAATCAACGGTTCAGGTATTTGATTATGAACCTTGCATGAGTAGTTGGCAAAGTACATGGTGCCAAACAAAATTTCCATGCGACAAGCTGATTCAAACACCACCGCCATACCAAAATATATTATACCAAAGGTTTATCAAATAGTAATAAGTTCCAATGACAAATAACAATAGAGACGTGCAAGTTGCAGCTTGGATAAGTTGCAACACTCACCGCAATTGGCGCAGAATTTTAGGGTGTAAAAAGACAATTTTCAAGAAAGCTACAAACAATAATATAACTAAGAAAATAATATACAAGTAACAAATTTGTCTTCAATGAATTAGTGATAAAAAATTAGA